GTGGGTATTGCGAGAAATAAGCGGGTGCAGAACTTCTACTTTTATCACTCTGTTTATTTCGCTTAACTAGACTGCTTTGGGTTTCGTTAAATTTATTTAACATTTTGACAAATACATGTGAGATTTTTAGTTTTGAACTACCATTATCATTAAACAGTTCGTAGTGTTTTTCTGCATATCTAAATCCGTTTTCTTGATTATTTTCCTCTTCCAATTTTGCAACCTTCAAGATTTGCCCATACAATGGCAAAGCATATAATTCTTTTTCAAGTTCAGCAATGTTTTTTAAGTTATTATCATTACTAAAATTGCTATTTTTAGCAGCTTCATTTATAACCCTTTCAATTTTTGAATATTCATCCTTCATATTTTCAAACACTTTAATTCTCTCAGCTTTTATTCTCTCATCGTCAAATTTTTTTTTCTCATATTCTACAAGCTTGTCTACATATTGTATAAATGTGACGTTATAAAGTGACATTGTATTTTGTATTAAAAACTTTGCAAATTTATTTTGAATTTTGATAATCGATTCCTTTTCTTTTACTATCTGATCTACTAAATTTTGGAGATCTTTTATCCTTATTTGTTTTTGCTCAGCATCTGATAATTTTTCATTAATCTTAAATTCTATATCCGGATTAATAGACTGTGTAGGCGTACATGTAGTTATATGAGCAGTATGTATATGTTGTTTCCAGGAACATTGACAAAATTTACATTTTCCATTAAACCTAATGGCTGAACAAAATAATAAAATGATTCTTCCCAAATTTTTAGATTTAACATTTAGATGGCAGTTATTACAACAAATTTTATAAATTTGTTGTTTTTTTCCATCAATTTGAAATTCTTCAGTACACGTATCACCCGTGCATATAGTTCTGGGGTATTCTAGAACTTTTTCTTCAATTTCTAACTTTTTTATATATATTTCTTCTTTAAGCTCTTTAATGGTTTTATTGGATTCTTGTATTTCTTTTTGTTCCATATTTATATCATTAATACTATCAGCAATGCGTACCTGTATTTCAGCAAGAGAATTAAGGAGAATTTTCACCATTTGTCTAGAGTTATTGAGCGATAATGTATCTTTTACTTTGTGAGGCTGGCGGTTGATAATGTGTTCTATAAGTCTTGCTGATTCTTCTACTGACTTTTCCCAACTTTTTTTAAACTGTTCTTCATCATTTTTTGTAAACTTAACACCTCTTTTGATTTGAGCTAGAAATTGAAATGATTCATTATCAAAACAAAATATTGTTTCTTTGTTGAATGTTATTTCAACATTTGATGTTTCCTTAAATATGTCGAGCTCTTTACGAAGTAAGAATAATGTTCCTCCTGGATGATAACTTGATCCTCGAGAATGAGTAAAGCAAAAAAATATATTATCCTTAGCACTTTTAGGAAGATGTGACAATAGTTCGTGCAGGCAATACTTTAATATTAAAGACATTCGTGATTGATTTGGCTTAAAAAGGATGCATATTCCATTTAAATATGGATAATAAGATATATGCATTAGAATATTCTCAAAATTCTTCGCATCTTGATCTACTCCTCTAGTATCTCCTATTCCAGGAGTGTCGATTAATTTTATAATTCTGTTGTCAGTTGCATGAAATATATAGCATTTGCATCCTAGAGTGGATGATGCACCTTTTTCAAGTCGTTCATTTGAATCATTTAAGTCATCACTTTCTATTTTTACAGTTTCCTCATTTTCATATTTCTCATCTGTTATTGTAAAAAAGAACGGTATCAACACTTCCATCTTTCCACATTTTGCACTGTCTAGTGAACCAAACTTGAGATAATTCGCGAAAGCATTTATAAATGTAGATTTTCCTACACCAGTTTCTCCAAGCAACAATATGTTTATCTCATCACAATAGTAGTTATCTGCTAATTTCCCATTAACATAATGGCGAACAACCGGACAATCTGGTCCTTTTATTTTTGTACATATTTTAAGTTCCGCTATTAAGAATTTACTTAAACTACTATTGGAATTTTCATATAAATCCTTAAACCTAATTCGTTCAGGTGATGAGTTACCGCTAATGATATATTCATCGGGGTCAAGGAGTATATAGACATCATTATAATGTAGAAATTTTTCAATAGTTGAATCTTTATCAATATATTCTACATTTTTTGATTTAAGGTTGCGTATAAGACTGGCCTTTTCAGATATATTTCGGTATTGATGAATAAATTTCGTAGTACAATTTGTTGATAACACGCTATTCTGAAATTTTTGTAATAATATCTCAATTTCACTAATGTCAGATCTTCCAGAACGTACTTCGATAAGACATTTTGCAAGATCATTTCTAAATTTTGCTTCCTCTAGATTGAAATTCTGCATTGTTTTATTGATTTTATTCCAAACTTCATCAAGTATATGACCATAAATAGATTGTGCATCGTCATATAAATCTTTTAACATACATTTAGATTCAGAGAGATCATCAAAAATATTTTCTACTCTTGAAATAGTCTCTTCACTCAAGCTCATTATCATACGATCGATAGCAATATCTAGTTTGACCGATTTTGCAATTTTAGAGAGCGGATAGAGTGTATACTCGATCGGAACTCCTTTTCCATTAGTTTGCTTTTGTATCTCTAAAGGAAGTTCAGCAATAAAATTTCTTCATCAAAAGATTTAGGAACTTTTATACTGAGAGGAAAATCTGCAATAAGTTTTGTGGAAAATTCGTACTTGCTGTAAGAATTTTCCTTATCCTTTTCTAGATGGCTGCCCCCAGAAGCACCAATGCAAGTCGAAATTTTATCAAGGTTAGATTCGAAAGCTACCTTAATTTCAGACCTTTTTTTTTTGTCCTCATTCTTGTAATCAAATGAGACTATTACGTTTGCACCCCACTTTATACTTGTAACAACATGGGTAGCATCTTGTATAGAAAATGGGTCCGTAGAAATGCAAGGCTTCAAAGTATCATAATTAAGTTCTAAATAATCCATAAATAATATTGTTTTGCACACCAAAGTGCCTTTTATAATTTTATAACTATCCTTCACGTTGCTTAGATACTCTCCAGTTCTTTCCAAAGCAAGCAGGCCTGAGAGAACATTTAATCTCAATTGCCCTTCAACATCTAGTTTATTAAACTTTTCTCTGTATGTATCCTCGCACTCAAATGATAAATTAATATTGTAAGGGGAAACTTGCTTGATTAACCCGGGTGGAAGCTCTTTCCTGAAGATAGAGGTTCCATGGAAGGTATCTCTAATAGCGTCATAGAGAAACCCAATTTGTGCAGTTCTTCCTAGAGCCTTTCGTTGTATTATTTCCTCATAACGATAAGTCATGTTAAATTATGTTTATAAATGAATACACGCGTAATTTGTAAATTTATATAAGCAAATCCTTTACACAAACTTAAATAAAAATTCATACATCATAAAGTTGCTAATATCTCAATAATTTATTAAAGAAACAGACATTTGTTGCTTAAGAAAAATTGTTCCTTACATAGTTTTACA